TCATCACAACCACCATAACTTTTGTAAGAATCTACCTCGCTGTCCGCAAACATCATTTGCAGATAAAATCTCAAGAAAAAACGGCAAGTGAAAATTGCAAAGAATTAGGGCTAAGCAAAAGAAAGCTTAAATCGACCGTCAACATCTTGTATGTTTATATCTTGTTCACCGCTTGTTATCTTCCCTATACAGGTACAATACTGATCATAGTAACGTCTGAGCACGGATTATTTCTGAAAGGAATGTTTCAGTTTTCACTGACATTAGCATTTTTGAATTCGTCCTTGAATCCTATCTTATACTGCTGGCGGATGAGAGAGATACGGAGATATGTTTTACAAATTCTTAAGAAATTCCTGCCATGTTTACGAATGGATCAAGGTACTGAAATCCCAAAGGAGAAGAAATTATCAATCCTCAGCTCCTCTCATTTCAAAAAAGACCAGTCTACAAATACTCGTGCAAGTCAAGTTAACTAAACGAAGTATTCGTCATCAAATGATCAAAGAGGATTTTTGAGAGGCACTTATTCGACAAATAAACATTTTCCACCGAAAGACTCGATGTCGTTATGGAAAATTGGAAAAAAATCTTCAAATTGGACGGATGCTTTAAGGATATAGGAGGAGTTTAATTCATTTTAAGTGTTTATAGCGGGCGGGTGAAATTTAGATGACGTATGTAACTGCCAAATTACAACTTGTCCAACCTAAATGTCTTTCTCTTCAGAAAATCTCCTCAAGAAGGCTACGGAAAAGAATGTATCAAAAGAAGAAGCGGTTGTTAAGTGCTGGCTTAAATTGTTTAACGGCCTCATAGCCAGCCACTTTTAAACATTTTTCTGTGAAGAAGGAGATTATTACAATTATTCGATCTTAAAACCCGCCACTAGCCTTTGGCATTTTCAGATGAAAGTCATTTGCCTAATACTTGTGGTCTGATTAGTAGGAAGTCATCCTCTGTAAGTCTTTTGACAAAATGTCATATGGTGGTGTTTCCGCGAATGCGAATTTGAGCGCCATGTCGGAGGGATGCAGATTGGTTAAAATCAATTAAAAAACATCTTCCTTTCCTTCCTTTTTCAATTTATTATTTCTTCTCTTTCGCTGAGGAAATCTGAGTGCTCAGCAAGTTATGATGTACACAGTCTTTTCCCCTTTCGCTTGAAACGCAACTTTTTCAATTTAACATCAGATTGTTAAGAAAATCTTCCCTCTCGATGTTTCTACCAATTGTGTCCAAACTAGTGATCACCTGTAGCAGTCAAACCACGCGCTAAAGACGAATTTTTCCCCATTGCGATTAATTTTGTTTTGCAAAAATTTCCGAAAGAAAAAAAATAAAAGATAATAAAAGATAAAAAAAATCAATCTTTTCTCATAAAACCTCCATAGTGCTTATGTAATTTCCTAACTTAGTCTATACGGTCCTTTTCATAGTTATAGCCCTTATTTTACACTTCTCATCTTTTATTAGGAAGAACTCTAAAATCATATTGAGATTTTTGAAGCAAAACGTAGTTCAGGCTTACATAAGCGACGTTCTCCTTCGAGTTTCATTAAGAATTGTCTAAACCAACAGAAAGGCCGTCGGCTTGAACTCTTTACCTTCAAATTTAAGAATAAGTGCCGCTCTGGATAAATTCGTTATTAAGTTGATAAGGAACTCATCAAAGGATGGTGCTTATCTATCAATTTCCTTAATCGTAATTAAGAGCAGCCTTTATCGTTTATCTCTGTTGGAGCAAGTTTTTATCAGGTGGCCTTCGATGGCACCTTCAAAGTGATAAAATCTACCTCCTCTCCCTCCCCCAGACCCCACTGTGCGCACCTAAGGAATGCCTGGATAGTGATGTGAATAGGCCATTATAGATTGTGTTGGTAAAAGTAGCATATTATGCTTCTAACATTGCTCGGTTTTTTCAAATTATATTTTTTAAGTTATGCTACTTCTCCCTAAAGTATGATTTCCGAAAAAGAAACACAAAACAAGTCCAAGTTATATATTCATTGTTTACAAAGTATGAAACCTTTTTATTTGGAATTGTAGACTTGCACTGAAAAGACAAAATTAACTTCTGCACTTAATTCCAGACCAGAAGCAGTGACTTAAAGTGTCAAAATGTATGATGTTAGCATCACTTTTCTCTTCGACGCGCATGTTTGTTGCTTGTTAAAGCGGGAACTGGGACAGACGCATTCTTTACTTCCAGCGTGTCCAGTCCTCTAGACAAAGAACGACTTAACATTTCAGTAATCTTCTTCCCCAAAGACGTTAAAAAATTGAAAATAGAATGAACCATGGGCCAAACTTGAAAATAAGCAATTCTGGAGACTAAGACAGGCAATGATTCTGGTAATGTTCCCTTCAAAAAAAAAAAACAAAAAAAAACAAGAGAAAAGAACTGAAAATATGCTAACTATACTAACAGTGCTACTCTTAAAAAAAGGGAGAAAATTATGCCCATTTATCCAAATGATGCCAAGTATTATGCTGGCATAATCTATAAGGGCCTACATTTGAAGTACAAGCGTTAAACCCCTAATTCCTTGTATAAGGC